GAGAGGGAGGTGGGAGGGGGGATCGGGATGGGGAATACATGTAACTCCATGGCTGATTCATGTCAATGTATGACAAAACCCACTGCACTGTTGTGACATAATTAGCCTCCAACTAATAAAAATAAATGAAAAAAAAAAAAAAAAAGGTCCACATCACAAAAATCTTAAAAAAAAATGTTGAATGAAGAATTCAGAAGAAACACAGAATCCTATACAAATGTGGCACTGGATATCCTGGGAATCAGAGAAGCTTGAGATGTGGATGTAGGAAGAAGCAGGGATCCTCCTAAAGCCAGGAGTGGGATGGAACGGAAAGTCTTCACAAGCCCTCTACCTTGTTGTGGATGGTGGTTCTATAGCAGAGGTCCAGGGAAGGCAAAAACTAAGAGAGCTGGTTCTGACCACAGATTCACCCCTCACTGACAGGCTGTGTGACCTTGGGCAATTATCTTGCCCCTTCCGGGCTCTAGTTATATTATCTGAAATGTCCTCTGTGCCCTACTTATCATGAAGGGTGGTTGGCATCTGTTGAGATGATTTGCCCTTCAGTTCAACCTCCTATTCACCCTTTCAACAACATTTTCTTGAGCTCTGTACAAGGTCCTGGTGGGGGACATTCAACTGGGGAGCCAAACCAGACACTTGCCTTCATCTGGCTGGTCCAGATGGTGGGGGCAGGTATGAAATCATCTCATAATAAAATGTAGCAAGCACCCAAAAGGAGAGGAAATAGCACAAAGAAGGCTTTAACCTGGTCAGAGAGGTCTGGAGAGGTTTTGCTGAGGAAGCATGAATTGGATGACTTAAAGGATGAGAAGGTATCTATTAGTCCAGAAGGGGAAGGAAGAATGCTCCAGTCAGCAGAAAGAGCATGTGCAAATGTCCTATGGTGAGGGTGATGTAAGAATGAAAGATCAGTGGGTCAGAGGAGTTGAGACAGAGAGTGATGAGAACCACGGTGGGAGATGAAGTGACAGGGTAGGTAAGAGGCAGGCCCCCAAAGAGATTTTTGCCACCACCCTAAGAGAAATGAAAGTGAAAAGTGAAAGTGTTAGTCAGTCGTGTGTGACTCTGTGACCCCATGGACTGTAGCCCACCAGCCCAAGAGATATGGGAAGAAATCAAAAGATTTTTCAATGATTTTGATATGATGGGGATCAAAGTTTCTGTGAGATCATTCCTGATGTAGTGGGGAGAACAAATTATAGAGGATGAATGAAATAAAACTTCAAAAGGGAAGGTGATATACTGATACTATTGAACGCCAATTAAAGGTATGTCTGAGTTAAGGCTTTGTAATGGGTAAGAAAAGTGCCTTAGAAACTCTCCCACAAATATTTATTGGGCACTGACGCTGTGTCAATTATCCTTCATACACCACCTCAGGAAATTCTTTGACAACTCTGTGAAATAGTTACCAGTAGTGACTTAGCAGCAGCAGCATGAGGTACTATGATAAAGAGAAAACTCAGGCTCAGGGAAGCTAAGTCACTGGCCCTGAGTTGCCCGGTTGTAGGAGGCATAGTCAGAATTTGATTGCAGAGTCTATCTGACTGCAAAGCTAGGGCTTTTCCCACTGTATCACACCACACTCAGATACTATAACATAGTAGGAAGTGATAAATGCTCTGTAAGGGACTTGAGTACAGGGCCCATAGAATTTATGGAATTGACAGAATTATGGGTAGTAATAGTGGTAGTGGTAGTCGTAGAATTTTGCAGTTAAGCTGCCTCTAGAAATCTCAATTTGGAGTTGGAGGTGTTCATGGCATTTGAATAGGGTGTCTTCCATGTGCTTTCAGAGATTCATGCCCTGCTTTGAGGTTTGTCACAAAGAAATTCCCTACCTGGAGCTTTTGAGCTCTGCACTCCCCTACTCCCACCCGCGTCCCCCAAGGTAGTGGCCCCGAAAGCAGGTTCCCCAGGGCTACAGAAGCAGTGGAATCTGTGAGGACTTCCTGCGGCTTTGCCTAAACTCTTCCCTGGGCCTCTGTCATTACCCTCACTGTCTGCATGGGCTTCCTGTGGCTGTGGTGATGGGGGGAGGGAACGTGACAGCTGGGATCAAGAGGCATTACCGAGTGGGAGCTGCCAGCTCAGAGCTTCAGCTACATGTGACAGGCCTGCCCGCTAATTCAGGCTGACATACTCCATGATGTAGCACTTAATGGGGAAGCTCTGGGAAGGTATCTGGGGAGGGAGCGCTAATGCTCTGCCCAGATAAGCCAGGCGACAAACATCACTTGTGATATTCCCACACCCTCCCTATGCCCAGGTCAAGGCTGTCCACTGCCCAGGGACACCCTGTCAAAAGGAGGAAGGAGGAGGGAAGGTGGTTCAAGCTTACCAACTGGACAGGATGACCAGTTAGGAAACCTTTCTGGGACTGTGTTTCCTGTCTGCTCTGGATATATGCTCTTTCTGGGGCCAGGCAGGGAGAAGAGAGGGATACAGGTCCCCGAGTTCAGCCCAGAGGCAATCATTTGGGTCTTCCCTGTAAGATCAGGGAGGGCTTCCTGTGGTAGCAGTCACTGAGTCAGAGCACCTCTGCCCTTAGCCCTCTCGGTAGCCGGCCCCACGGGGAAGATTCCTTTTTCGCCGTTTTACCGGGGAGGTGAAATAACCTGTCTGACATCACACAGAGGAAGGAGCGGGGCTGAACTGGGACAGTGTGGTTCCTGAGTGAGCTCACAGAACCACTGCTGCAAAAGAGATGCCTAGGATGAAACACAAAAATGCCACTTCTGCAAGTCAAAAATGGTCACATCTCAGTAATTTCACGTGGTTCAGCCTCACACTTTGGAAGGACTCTGTGCCATATGGATGTGACATTGACTCATGAAACACTGGACCCTGGAAGGAACCCTGGAGCCTCCTTCAAGGCTGCCACAAGCATATGTGTGTTTGGGGAGGGCACAGAGGGAGGCCATGGTGTCTGGGCCTTACAACCTTCATCATTCTTGGTAATATGTTCGGATTCTTGCATCTTGCTTAAGTAACTGTGGATAAGGAAAGTTTGAGACCAACTACCACAGACAGTTCCGAATTCTGCAGATGAAGAAGTCAGGAACCCTAGAGGTGACGTGCCATGGCCGTGGTCACCCGGGAGGGGTTGCCAGCACAACCTGGCTCTCTGCCACTGATCCTATCGCCTCCTCTGTCCCCATACCAGGTGCCTGAGCTGTCCTCCACAGGACCAAACTCCAGGATCAAGCCCGGACCTTCAACTGGTGGTTCACACCCTCTTTTCTGCACTATCTTGGCAGTGGCCGTGGGGCGAGATGACCCCCCGCCCCCAACTCCCCGAGACAAGGCTGGTGCTTCACTAGGCTTGCAAATGAGAACAGGGCCAGCCTTAGCTCTTGGAGGCTGCGGGTGGCCTTGAAGTCTGCTGCTGGAATTCTTATCCCTCCCTAGGCATCCCATACTCGTCCCCAACCCTGATTCAGTTTCAGCTCATTGCCCTGAGCATGAATGCAAAGCATAAGCAACCCAGCCTGGTTGTCAAGACAACCGGTACTGTGTTAAGAGTATCCACCAAATAAAGTTTCACAGACCAAGAGAGCAGCCTCAGAGTCTAACCTGCTACGAGGCTTATAGATATCTATCTCAGCTGGGATATTAGTGGGCTGTGGAAACCCC